TTCTGCTCTGTACCACGGAGGTACCAAGCAGAATAGCCGAATCGAATGCTGCTTGGTGGCATTCAGCTATTCACTCAGTGCCGTTCGGCCCCTATGTGAATAGGGGCGAACGGCAGCAAGTAAGCTGCCGGAGCTTTGGCTTTAGCCGATCCAGCTGAGTCGAAGTCCTTCTGCACAGCATGTTCAGCTGACCGAAATGCAGCCAAAGCCAGCCGATGTACAGCTGATTTCAGCAGATGTATGGCTGAAATGTAGACGTACAAGCCTGAAGTGAATAGCCGAACAGTGTTCGGCTCACTTCACTTTGGGTGGGTTACTTACTCGGCTGCCTTCGGCCGCTTTGTGAATAACCCTGTTTATCTTAGAAATAATTGCTCCGATCATGCGAAAATTGACAGTTTTTTTATTGTTAAGATTGCAGGCAGCTGCTATTAACATGGGGACACAGGAGCAGGAGAACGGAGGGTTCTGTCTTATGAACTTGCTACTCTGCAGGATATAGTATGAGTGGGCAATTCCGCACCTAACAGGGAGTGCCAAGACAGCAGTCCTAGTTTATAGTCATTCACACTGCGCCTTACACTCCGAGTCCCAGACAAAGTCAGCAAGTGACCTAACGCATAGGGCAGAACTAGTAGGCACAGAGTGAAGCAAAAGATACAATGGGATGGCCTGGCCCCTTTTCCAGCTGGAGCACTAGATTGGGCAGCTGAAGAGAGAATTGGGGATCGATTGTTACTGATATCCCCCCTTCAGTCTATCATGAATGCAGCTACTAGACTCATTCACTTGACCAACCGCTCAGTGTCTGCAACCCCCCTCTGTCAATCCCTGCACTGGCTTCCATCCCTACCCCCCTCCATGCCAATCCCTGCACTGGCTTCCACTCGCCCAGAGGATAAAATTCAAAATATTAACAGTCACTTATAAAGCCATCCACAACTCTGCCCCCGGCTATATCTCCAACCTTGTCTCAAAATATCACCCTAACCGTCCCTTGCGCTCTTCCCTAGACCTGCTGCTTTCCAGCTCCCTAGTCAACTCCTCCCATACTCGCCTCCAGGACATCTCTAGAGTCTCTCCCATCCTCTGGAACTCTTTACCTCAACCTGTCCGTCTATCTCCCACCTTGACTGTCTTTAGGTGTTCCCTAAAGACTCATCTCTTCAGGGAAGACTTTCCCACCTCAACCTAACCACATCACTTTCTCAAATAATTCATCCCCACGCAGCTACCGCCTCATGTATCACTTCCCCCTCCCTTTTAGATTGTAAGCCCTCTGGGGCAGGGCCCTCCTTACCATCTTGTCTTGAATTGTATTGTAATTGTAATGTCTTCCTTACATTGTAAAGCGCTGCGCAAACTGGTGCTATATAATAGACATGTGCGATTCGTTTCGTTCCGAATCGAAATTCGGACGAATTTTCGGAAATTCGGACATTCGGATGTATCCGAATTCCGAATTATAGACATAACGAATGCAAACGAATCCGAATTTCCATTTCCGAAATTCGGTAGCGTTCGTACGAACGTTCGTTTCGTTCTCTGTTCTTATTCGTTTCTTATTCGTTTCGTTCGTTGGAGCAAAGTGACATTAGAGGAGACAAATATTTTTTCCCCCTCAAATGTCACTTTTGCTGCAAACGAACGAAGCGAATAAGAAACGAATAAGAAACGAATAAGAACAGAAAACGAAACGAACGTTCGTACTAACGCTACCGAATTTCGCCCGAATCCGAATTCCGAATCCGAATTGACTTTCACACCCGAATCCTGAAAAACGAAATAACACAAATCCGAATTTAAAACGAAACGAATTTTTTGGCAGTGCACATGTCTACTATATAAATCCTGTATAATAATAATAATAATGTAGATGTTTTTCTTATTTGAGTAGTTTTGTTAATGAAGTACTTATGGTTTTAAATGGTCTTACGCTATGAACTCTACTCATTCCCATTTGTGAACATCTATGATGGAGCTTCTGATCTCTGCTCTATAATACTGTGGAAGGGAAGGAGAAACCAAAGCTGGCAGTGATTGATCTGGTGGATCTCTGAGCGATTATTGACCCATGCTGAGGTCAAACCTGGAGGTGAGCGACTTTTCATAAGGGCACACAGTGGTGTTGAGTGGAGGCTAAGGAAGACACTTCACAGAGAGACTTTGTTTGCACTATTAAACACTTTAATATCAACGTGTGCACTATACACAGAAAGACTTTGGTTTTGCTTTGCGCAATTAAGCAATGTATTACAAGTGTGTGGATTATACATCTATAGGAATATTTTTCGCACGTAAAAAGTATTTTTTATGTATTGCATATTGCTTATGAGCACTTGTAGATGAGTGATTGATCCTATATTATTTTTTACTGATGCATATATTTTATCACCTTTTCCATTTATTGTGGGCTGTAGGTGAACTGGATTAAATCACAATGTCTTCCTCTGGATCCTCTGAATCCTTCTTCCGGGTTGTCCTTTGCTCCGCTACAAGAAGTGTCCAGATACCTTGGTTTACATGTCATTAACTCGGTTTTGGACTTTATACAACTTAATGTGTCCCTGATTAGGACCCTTTTTAAAGTTTGGTCTCCATGGATAGATTCCAACCACACAGTCTCAGAGTGACCTCTCCTTAAGAGAACCTGTTTTGTCCTGTTTTTTTTTGTATTTTAGCAGTGATCTGGCTTCTTTTTTCCCCCCACCTAGTGTATATTTCCTGGTTGGAGCCCTGCCATTGAGATGGATTCTTAAACCTATTGTGCGCTCTGTACCTTCTCTTTTGATTATTTGAATGGGGTCCCTATCATTCCAAGAGTATTTAGGTTCTTACTTAATTTGGATGGCTAGCCAGAGTATAGTTTATGGCTGAATCACAGAGAGTGGTTCACTGGTAGTGTTGGTTGTC